CACCGCCCACACTGCCAAAAGTACCAAAACCTGGTTCAATGACCTTGACCTTACTGTGCTTGATTGGCCAGCAAACTCGCCTGACCTGAACCCCATAGAAAATCTATGGGGCATTGCCAAGAGAAAGATGAGAGACATGAGACCGAACAATGCAGAAGCACTGAAGGCCGCTATTGAAGCATCCTGGTCTTCCATAACACCTCAGCAGTGCCACAGGCTGATAGCTTCCATGCCACGCCGCATTGAGGCAGTAATTGCTGCAAAAGGGGCCCAAACCAAGTACTGAGTACATATGCAGCTTCTACTTTTCAGACGTCCCATATTGTTCTATGTACAATCCGTGTTTTATTGATTGCATGGAATATTCTCATTTTCTGAGATTGTGGATTTGGGGTTTTCATGAGCTGTAAGCCATAATCATCACAATGATGACAAATCACGGCTTGAACTATCTTGCTTTGCATGGAATGAGTCTCATATATTAGTTTCACCTTTTAAGTTGCTGCACTGAAATAAATTAACTTTTGCACCATATTCTAATTTTTTCGAGTTTCACCTGTATATATATATATCTTAGTTACATCTTTTTCTGTAAATATTTTTATTGCACCCGTTTGACCTTTTAGTAATAAATCTTTCCTTCTGAAAGTGTTGAACTGTTTGTAAAGCGCTTTATTGCAATTTACGAATTCCTGCCTGTGTTTGTTTAACTGTCTGACTAATCAACCTGCGGTGACCGTGTTATACAGACGATTATCTCAACCATTATACTGTTTTAGCTGATATTGCGAGTTTCCTCTTTCTCTGTACAAAAAGGAGGTGGTGGCAGTGTGAAGGGTTAATTGCGTAATTAACTTGATGCAGTAACAATCGCTCAGGCTGCCGATACATCGATTGTGGTCCAATTAGCTGGAAAATCGTTGTGCAGGGTGCAGCTGGGTGTGGCATTGTTACGCACTTGACATCGTGATTTTAGATCGGCTAGTCCTTTGGTCACGAGTTTGGTGAGAAGTCCTGGGGTCTGACGCCGCGATCGTGACAGTCCCATTTTTGCCACGTTTCAAGACATTCCTTTTATGTCACTTCCCTTTGATTCTGATTTTTTGTATGCATTCACTGGCATTTGATTTCTTGTTGTGATCACATCACTTTTATTTGTTCTACCTCTGTGGATTCACTCCTGTAGCTATTAGGCTCCATGTACACGGGGTGTTTGGAAACCACTTCTCAGTGATGGAAACTGACTGCTGGAAAATGTAGGTTAAAAAAACGTCTGTTTAGCCGCGTTTGCATACCGTGTTTATGATCGTTTGCACTTAGAAGCGTTTTAAAGATAACCTCAGGCAGTGGCGTCCCGAGGCAGGTGCGGGGGGTATGCGCCACACCGGGTGACACCTACCGCACAGGATGACACTCAACCCGCTCCACAAAAAGGTAAGTTGTAAGCAAGCCAACGATCCCACTGTGGGGATCATGGTTCGGATCTGCGGCTTTAGCATAATGGATTAGAGTCCGATCCATTATGCTCCCCAATCCACAGATCCCATCCATCCTGTGGGGATCGTCGGCATGCAACCTATACGGGGTGACACCGGACCCGCTCCACGAAAAGGTAAGTTGTAAAGAAAGCCAATGAATTCCCGCAGGATGGATGGGATCTGCGGATTGGGGAGCATAATGGATCTGAGTCCAATCCATTATGCTCAATCCACAGATCCCATCCATCCTGCGGGCATCGTCGGAGGCAGGGGTGTATTTATCACAAGGCAAACAAGGCATTTGCCTAGGGTGGCACTTTTCAGGCGGGCAGCACTGTTCCCTGGAAGAAGAGACAGAAGAAGGGACGCATGCGGCATGGGGACAGGGTGGGATCCAAGAGAGGCTGGGGGCTCCTTGACGGTGTATGAAGAGCCTGACTCTTATTCCAGGGGATGTCTGCAGCTGTGAAGGTGAGTGTCATTCTCTCTCTCACTGGGGGTGGGATGAGAGCTGGGTTGGCTGGTGTATGGAGGGTGGTGGTAGTGGAAGGCTCTCTTGGGTGGGGGGGGGGGGTGGTGTTGGTTGATGTCAGGCTCTCTCTGTGGGAGGGGGGGCGTCCAATTTTTGTGTTGCCTGGGGCAGCATAATACCTAAATACACCACTGGTTGGAGGGGGTGTCCCCAAGTGTTATTGCACAGGGTGACACCACCCCTAGGGACGCCTCAACCTCAGGAGACCTTCCAAAATGCCCAGAATGCACTGAAAAAAACAGTAAAAAAATGAACTATTTCAGATATTTTGAGAGACATAGAGAGAGCAGAAGCAGAGAGAGCGGTATGTGTTGAGATTAGTTGTCTTTTTTTTTTGTGGTGTTTGGATGTTCCGGCTCATTTCTGTGCAGAAATTATTGCAGCCGCGTCTAACATTTTTTCTTTCATGCAAAACCTCAAAGTACGGTGTGCCGGGTCCATCTGAGTCCCGGGAAAACGCTTCGCATGCATTTTTCATGATGACAAAAGGCTCCGGACAGCATCTGGAAATGGAAGAGTTAAAAAAATTTCCAAACGCAAACGCTTGAAAAATGCGGTTAGCCGCGTTTGGTGTTTGAAACGCCGATAACATCTACTCCTGAACGCAAGTTTGGTGCGTTCAAAAAAGCGACTGTAAAGGACGGTGTGTACACGGACACATAGGGAAACATTAGGGAGAGCTCAGGGGCTGCTGAAAAAAACGCAGAAAGGCTCCTGAACATCCGTTTATCAGCCGCAGTGTACATGGGGCCTTGTTGTGCACTTTTTTGGCACTGGTTGTATGTGAATGACTTTATTTATCTCGGTTTGTTGTTATTCACTTATTTATCAGCATTTATGTATTATTGTATTTATTTCAGGTACTTATATAGCGCTGTCAATTTACACTTTACATATATATTGTACCTTCACATCAGTCCCCACCCCTGAGGAGTATACAATCTAAGGTCCCTAACTCACATTCATATACTAGGACCAATTTGGACAGGAATCAATTCACCTAGCAGCATGTCTTTGGAGTGTGGGAGGAAACCGGAGTACCCGAAGGAAACCCACACAGGGACAGGGAGAACATGCAAACTCCAGGCTGGTGGTGGTTGGGATTCGAACCAACGACCCGAGTACTGCCAGGCGGAAGTGCTAACCATTTAGCCGCTGTGCTTCCCAGTGGTGTATTTAGGGTTTGTGCTGTCCTAGGCAAACCCCCCGGTGTAGAGAGCCTGACACCGACCAACACCAGACCCTCTTCCCCCCTCCGTGGAGAGACCCTGACAGTGACTCAAACCCCCAACCCCCCTTCCCTGGTGACAGAGAGACCCCGTTACAGCTCTGGACATCCCCGGGTCGACAGTCGGGCTCTACATACACCAGCAAGCAGCCCACAGCCTCTCTCAGATCCCACCTGGTCCCCATGCTGCATATATCCCTTCTTCTAGGGGCAGAGCCACCCCCCCCTAAAAAAAGCCGCCCTAGGCAAATGCCTTGTTTGCCTTGTGATAAATATGTGCTTCCCTCACCAAGCAACGCAGCACCTTTTTTTCCCACATACTTACCTTACCCCCGTCTTCTGTATTGCTGGTGGTGACATCACCATCCTTACGGGAGTACAGAGCAGGTAAAATCTTGCAAGAAGACCAGGCCATTGCAAGAACATCTTCCTGAGGTTCCAGATGCTGTGTTCCTCAGGATCCAGCCCAGGGGTGGACTGACAACTCATGGGGCCCCCGGGCAATAGGGGATCATGGGGCCCCTGTGTCAAAAAAGCCTATGAAAAAGGTACCAGGGGCATCTCATGGGGCCCCCTACTGACCCCAGGCCCTTGGGCAGTGCCCGAGTTTCCAAATGGTCAGTACGCCCCTGATCCTGCCAGAAGGTGCACCGCCATCCTCACCCTGGACACCACAGGAGGAAGACGGGTGAGATCAGTGTACAGCCCAACTTCTTCCTTTACAGGTACATTTTACACCATAGGTACTTGATTGGTGAAGGGGCCCCGGGCAGCGTAGGTGGATCTGCAGCTCAGGGGGTGGCGAGGTGGGTTTAGGTCATCTTGGCATCCATGAAATAAACTACGGAGCTCGGCATGCGTTTGCTCTCACCTTCACTGCGGATGGGCGAGGGATCATTGCTGCCACCGTCCAGATGGAAAGTGTTTTATTGTACGTCTTGAAGCTCCATTTCACAGCTGTCCCTCCCAGATGTCTAATGAATCTGCAAGCCGCGCAGCAAGCCATTAATGCCGCGGTCGTTATCGGACATGGGGGGAGGGGGGAATAGGGGGATTGTGAATTATCTTTCTGTCCTTCACCCATTTCAATGCTTCTTGTATCCTCTATCGTCCCACCATACACAGACCGGACCACCCTGTCCGAACCCACTGGAAACTGGTACTGTGGGCCCGTCTGTCTCTGATCTCAGTACTTGCTAGGTCAGTGACACAGAGCAAGCATGTGGGCAGTGAAACCAGAGAGAGGAAAGCACACAAGATATGTATGTACAGGCTTGTTCTGGGCAATGGGCATAGAAAGGATTGACATTGGCAGGAGCATACAGCAATGTGCGTCCCTCTATCATTCTGCTTTCCTATAGATTGAAAAAAAAAACCCCAAGTGCCATTGCTCTGGGATCCAGTGTGACATTATTATGGACCCCAAGTGTCAGTGTGTCTGGGCCCCCAAGGGCCAGTATGTCATTGTTCTGGTCCCTTAAAGTGCCTGTGTGTCTGGGACCCCCAAATGCCAGTATGTCATTGTTCTGAATCCCCAAGTGCCAGTGTGTCTGGGACCCCCAAGTGCCAGCATGTCATTGTTCTGGACCCCCAAGTGCCAGTGTGTCTGGGACCCCCAAGTGCCAGAATGTCATTGTTCTGGAGACCCCCAAGTGCCAGTGTGTCTGGGACCCCCAAGTGCCAGCATGTCATTGTTCTGGACCCCCAAGTGCCAGTGTGTCTGGGACCCCCAAGTGCCAGCATGTCATTGTTCTTAACCCCCAAGTGCCAGTGTGTCTGGGACCCCCAAGTGCCAGCATGTCATTGTTCTGGACCCCCAAGTGCCAGTGTGTCTGGGACCCCCAAGTGCCAACATGTCATTGTTCTGGAGACCCCCAAGTGCCAGTGTGTCTGGGACCCCCAAGTGCCAGTATGGCATTGTTCTGCTCTCCCTAAGTGTTAGTGTGTCATTGTTCTGCTCTCCCCAACTGTCAGTGTGTCACTGGTTTGGACCCCCAAGTGTCAGTGTGTCATTGTTCTGGACCCCCAAGTGTCAGTGTGTCATTGTTCTGGACCCCCAAGTGTCAGTGTATCACTGTTCTGGACCCCCAAGTGTCAGTGTGTCACTGTTCTGGACCCCCAAGTGTCAGTGTATCATTGTTTGGACCCCAAATACGCAGTATGTCATTGTTCTGGACCCCCAACTGTCAGTGTGTCACTGGTTTGGACCCCCAAGTGTCAACATGTCATTGTTCTGGACCCCCAAGTGTCAGTGTGTCAGTGTTCTGGACCCCCAAGTGTCAGTATGTCATTGTTCTGCTCTCCCCAACTGTCAGTGTGTCACTGGTTGGGACCCCCAAGTGTCAGTGTGTCATTGTTCTGGACCCCCAAGTGTCAGTGTGTCATTGTTCTGGACCCCACGTGCCAGTGGATCATTGTTCTGGACCCCCAAGTGTCAGTGTGTCATTAGTTCTGGACCCCACGTGTCAGTGTGTCATTGTAAAAGGACCCCACCTGTCAGTGTGTCATTGTTCTTGACCCCACGTGTCAGTGTGTCATTGTTCTGGACCCCCAAGTGTCAGTGTGTAATTTTGCTTGGACCTCAAATGTGGTATGTTTTACAAGCGTATCCAGACCAAAGATATGTAACACTATCCCCTTAAGGATCATGGAGTTATTTTTGGGCTCCCTGTCACTCTTGACCCCATTCTGAAAATCCAACCCCTTCTGACACCACCATACTCTTCTGGTCAGTGTAAAATCTCATAATATTGCCAGAAAATGGACATATTCGCACACCAGCTGGAGTGAGCTGATACTTTGTTTATATTAGAGTCTCTAGTATGAGCACAGTAAAAACACAAGTAAATTACTCTTAGTAACTTTAAGCAAGGGCCAACACATACTGGTCAAATATCTTCCCAATCAGTTCTGGACGTCCTGCAAATCAGAATCTATCCAAGGGCCTCAACTCTGAGATGTTTCTGTCCCCAGTGAGCAAAAGAGAAACTACTAAGGAATAAGATTTGGCTCACTTTGGGCCCTCGGAAGCTGATGACAAGGTTCAAATCTGAGATGAAGAAAAAGCTCTTTAATTAGGAAAGCTAAAGTCCCTTTAACTGCAGTGAAAGATCTTCTGCACGCTTGTTGGGGCCCAGTTGGTGCACTAAATTTAGATCTCCTTGGTTGCAACAGGTGGAAGCACCAAAAGGGACTTATGCAAGCACAGCCACTTTCCCTTTAGGTGGTAATTAACTTGGGGAGTACCCGTTTAAGGCACAAGAAAATGCAGGTTTTAAGAAAAAGGTTTGGGGTGGGCAGAGGCAATTGTTAACAATGGGTTAATTCCTCTCTAGGCTCTAGCAAATGGCATCCCTTGATGGATGTAAGCCAATTGCAGAGGAAACAGTGGGGTGGGTTGGCCCAGAGAGGGTGGACACTGCAGTAGGCTCTGATGACTGGATATATGCTGGAGATATGTTTGCTAATAGGCCGTGTGAACTAGGCCTTGACTTGTGTAACTGTTGAACAATGTCATTGACTGTATAGAGAATGGCTGATGCAAGAGAATGCCAGTGACAACTTGAATGGCTGGAGATTGGGACTCTCTCACCTCATCTGTGGCTTGCTGTTGGTTTTACTGTAGATGGGGGCCTCCACCAGTATTCTGGGGTTCCTTTGCATCCATTCCTGACTGCTGCACTCCAGGTGACCTGCCGACAGGGCAGCATTGGCTGTTCCTATTTTTCTCTGCTCGCTGCCACTCTGGGCCTTGTCCTGTCCTCCGCCATTTCCGCACAGAAACCGCTCAACCTTCGGTTCCTCCTGTAGCAATTCATTCCTGACTGCTGCACTCCAGGTCACCTTTCACAGGGCAGCAGTTGACTGTTCCTCCCTTTGCATCTGCTCTGCCACTCTGCGGCCTGGTACCAGTCCTATGGAATCCGCACAGCTACTCCTTCCTTCAGCTTTCCCAGCTCACTTCCTGCCTAATAGCAGGGTGTTACATCAAGCATGATTGTGTTTTTACTTGCAATGAGCCAAAACAGAGGTGATTCAGACCACTCTGCAGCCTGGTCCGCTCCTCCGGCTTTCCGCACAGCTCACTCCTCACACCTTCGGTTCCTCTTGTAGCGTTCAGCATCCTGACTGTTGCACTCCAGGTCACCTGCCGACAGGACAGCAGTTGGCTGTTCCTCATTTTTTCTTTGCTTTACCCACTCTGCGGACTAGTCGGGTCCCCCGGCTTTCCGCACAACTCACTCCTCACACCTGATTTTTTCTCCTGTAGCGTTCATTCCTGACTGTTGCACTCCAGGTCACCTGCCGACAGGGCAGCAGTTTGGCTGTACTCCTCCCTTTTTTTCTGCTCTGCCACTCTGCGGCCTGGTCCGCTCCTCCGGCTTTCCGCACAGCTCACTCCTCAACCTTTGGTTCCTCTTGTAGCGTTCATTCCTGACTGTTGCACTCCAGGTCACCTGCCGACAGGACAGCATTGTTGGCTGTTCCTCCCTTTTTCTTTGCTTTGCCACTCTGCGGACTAGTCGGGTCCTCCGGCTTTCCGCACAGCTCACTCCTAACACCTTCGGTTTCTCTTGTAGCGTTCATTCCTGACTGTTGCACTCCAGGTCACCTGCTGACAGGACAGCAGTTGGCTGTTCCTCCCTTTTTCTTTGCTTTGCCACTCTGTGGACTGTCCCGGTCCCTGGCTTTCGGCACAGCTACTCCTCACACCTTCGGTTCTCTCTTGTAGAGTTCATTCCTGACTGCTGCACTCCAGGTCACCTTCCGACAGGGCAACAGTTGGCTGTGCCTCCCTTTTACTCTGCTTTGCCAGTCTGTGGACTGGTCGGGTCCCCTGGTTTTCTGCATAGCTCACTCCTTCCTTCCAGCTCTCTCCCAGCTCACTTCCTGCCTCTGTTCCCAGACTTCTGCATTTATATGCCTCCGCCCACACACCAGATCCTCTGGGAGATGTAGCCCCCCAATTAGCAGCCTTCAGTCCTGCAGTTTAGCCTACAAAATCCATAATGCTTAGATGTGTGCCACTGAGTTGCAGGACACTGCCACCTTGTGTGCTCTTTTAACATCCTACAGTCTGAATAATAGCAGGGTGTTACATCAAGCATGATTGTGTTTTTACTTGCAATGAGCCAAAACAGAGGTGATTCAGACCACTCTGCGGCCTGGTCCGGTCCTCCGGCTTTCCGCACAGCTCACTCCTCACACCTTTGGTTCCTCCTGTAGTGTTCATTCCTGACTGCTGCACTCCAGGTCACCTGCTGACAGGGCAGCAGTTGGCTGTTCCTCCCTTTTTCCTGCTTTGCCAGTCTGCAGACTGGTCGGGTCCTCTGGCTTTCCACACAGCTGACTCCTCACACCCGGCTCTCTCCCCTCCTGTAGTGTTCATTCCTGACTGTTGCACTCCAGGTCACCTGCCGACAGGGCAGCAGTTGGCTGTAGCCCTCCCAATTTTTCTCTGCTTTGCCACTCTGCGGACTGGTCAGGTCCCCCGGCTTTCCACACAGCTCACTCCTCACACCTTCGGTTCCTCTTGTAGCGTTCATTCCTGACTGTTGCACTCAGGTCACCTGCTGACAGGGCAACAGTTGCTGTTCCTCCCTTTTTCTCTGCTCTGCCACTCTGCAGACTGGTCAGGTCCCCTGGCTTTCCACACAGCTCACTCCTCACACCTTCGGTTCCTCTTGTAGCGTTCATTTTTGACTTCTGCACTCCAGGTCACCTGCCGACAGTCCAGCAGTTGGCTGTTCCTCCCTTTTTCTCTGCTTTGCTAGTCTGCGGACTGGCCCGGTCCTCTGGCTTTCGGCACAGCTCACTCCTCACACCTTCAGTTCCTCCAGTAGCGTTCATTCCTGACTGCTGCACTCCAGGTCACCTGCCGACAGGGCAGCAGCTGGCTGTTCCTCCCTTTTTATCTGCTTTGCCAGTCTGCGGACTGGTCAGGTCCCCCGGTTTTCTGCACAGCTCACTCCTTCCTTCCAGCTCTCTCCCCACTCACTTCCTGCCTCTGTTCCCAGACTTCTGCATTTATATGCCTCCGCCCACACGCCAGATCCTCTGGGAGATGTAGCCCCCCCCAATTAGCAGCCTTCAGTCCTGCAGTTCAGCCTACAAAATCCATAATGCTTGGATGTGTGCCACTGAGCTGCAGGACACTGCCACCTTGTGTCTCTTTTAACATCCTACAGTCTGAATAATAGCAGGGTGTTACATCAAGCATGTTTTTACTTGCAATGAGCCCAAACAGAGGTGATTCAGACCATGTTTTTTAATGTCCAGTAAGCTACAAAGCTGCAGTTGGTGTGTCCTCCTGGAACGTTGTGGAGTCCCTCCACTGATGGCGCTTTGCCGACCAACCTCAGCAACGATGCGGCATGAGAACCTGCGAGTGTTGGATGTCACAATTGTTCCATTACCTCTCCCTTCCCCTGTGCCCCTCTGATCACACTGACTCACCTCCACAATATCCCAACCATTATTTTCCAGTGCCAAACTTCTAATTAAAGTTCTGCAGAGCGCGTGGCGTCCCCGAGGACAGAAGACATCTCCTCCGAGAAGCAATACATAAATAATTGCCTCTTTTTTGGTCATTGATGCAGGAGCCGCAATTAACACCTTCACTGTTTTGTTCCACACCTTCACTCCAGCTATTTGTGGTGTCAGTAGACAAACACGTTTAATGAATGCTGCAGGTCCACACACACAAACACTTGACCATACTGGAAAAACAAAAAACATTTGGGGGCCATTCAATAGGGCATTAGGGACTCTTTTCTGACAGTGTGGCCCCTTAAAAACGATGGGTGCAGTAGAGTCAGATCGTTCTTAATTGAGGCACTTTAACTACTTGTACTACGGAAGGGTTTAGCCCCTACATGACCGGGGTTTTTTTTTTTGCTTTTCGGCACTGCACTACCTTAACTGGCACTTGCTCAGTCATGCAACGCTGCACCCAAAAAACAATAACCCAAATCAGCATATATATTATTTAGTTTGTAGGAAAGTTATAGAGTCTACAAACTATGGGATTTATATTTGAAAATCGATCAGTCCTGATGTACTGATGGCCGATCTCATTTCTAGAGACCCTAACATGACAGGACAGTACAAATACCCCCAAATGACCCCTTTTTGAAAAGTAGACAGTCCAAGGTGTTTAGTAAGAGGCACATGACTAGTTTTTGAACTAGAGCCTCTCAGTGGGGGGTCAGAACTTTTTTTGGATCTTGTAGCTGATTGAAGAACTTTTTCTGGGCCCTGGATCTGATTGAAGAACCTTGGTTGGACCATGTACCTGATTGATGAACCTTGGTTGGACCCTGTATCTGATTGAAGAACCTTGGTTGGACCCTGTACCTGATTGATGACCTTGGTTGGACCCTATATCTGATTGAAGAACTTTTTCTGAGCCCTGTACCTGATTAACGAACTTGGTTGGACCCTGTA